CCCAGGGAATTCCCAGGGACAATTACCGGACATCCCAGGGAATTCCCAGCCGGAATTCCTGGACATCCCAGGGAATTCCCAGGGACAATTCCCAGACATCCCAGGGAATTCCAGGGGGACGCTCCCAGGGAGAATTCCCACGGAGAATTCCTGGTGAGAATTCCTGACCATCACGGGGAGTTCTGGGGGGATGTTCCCGGTGAGAATTCCCAGCCGGAATTCCCAGGAAGAATTCCCACACATCCCAGGGAATTCCCGGTGAGAATTCCCAGTGGGAATTCCTGGACGTGACAGGGAATTCCAGAGGCATATTCCCGGCAAGAATCCCTGACAATCCCAGGGAGTTCCAGGGGGGACACTCCCAGTGAGAATTCCCAGCCATGCCATGGAATTCCAGTGAGAATCCCCAGTGAGAGTGTCCCAGTCATGCCATGGAATTCCAGTGAGAATTCCCAGGGAGAATTCCTGGTGAGAATTCCTGACCATCACGGGGAGTTCTGGGGGGATGTTCCCGGTGAGAATTCCCAGCGGGAATTCCTGGACATGACAGGGAATTCCAGAGGCGTATTCCTGGCAAGAATCCCTGACAATCCCAAGGAGTTCCAGTGAGAGCGTCCCAGCCATGCCATGGAATTCCAGTGAGAATTCCTGTGAGAATTCCCAGCCATGCCAGGGAATTCCTGTGAGAATTCCCAGTGGGAATTCCCAGCCATGCCATGGAATTCCTGTGAGAATTCCCAGTGAGAATTCCCAGCCATGCCAGGGAATTCCGGGGGGAGATTCCTGATGCGAATTCTCAGTGAGAATTCCCAGCCATCCCAGGGAGTTTCAGGAGAAATTCCCAGTGGGAATTCCCGGCCATCCCGGGGGATTTCAGGGATATTCTTGGTGAGAATTCCCGGACATGTTGGGGAATTTCAGGGGAACATTCCCAGTCAGAATTCCTGGTCATGCCAGGGAGTTCCAGGGGGACGTTCCCAGTGGGAATTCCTGGTGACAATTCTCAGCCACGCCATGGAATTCCAGTGAGAATTCCCAGTGAAATTTCCCAGCCATCCTGAAGAATTTCAGGGGCACATTCCCGGTGACAATTCCCCGCCATCCCAGTGAGAACTCCCGGCCATCCCAACAAATTCCAGACCATCCCAGGGAACTCCCAACAATCCCGGTGAGAATTCCCAACCATCCCATGGAATTCCTGCCCATCCCGGTGACAATTCCTGGTGACAATTCCCAACCATCCCAGGGAATTCCTGCCCATCCCGGTGACAATTCCCGGTGACAATTCCCAACCACCCCAGGGAATTCCTNTCAGCTGCCATTCCCAACCCAATAAAACTGGGAATCAGCCCCAGGAAAACTGGGAATCAGCTGCCATTCCCAACCCAATAAAACTGGGAATCAGCTGTCATTCATGGCCCCAGAAAAACCAGGAATCAACTGCTGCTCTTGATCTCAATAAAACCAGGAATCAGCCCATTCCTGGTCCCAGGAAAACTGGGAATCAGCCTGTTCCCAGCTCCAGGAAAACCAGGAATCAGCCGCCATTCCCAACCCAATAAAACCAGGAATCAGCTGTCATTCATGGCCCCAGAAAAACCAGGAACCAACACAAACAAAACCAGGAATCAGCCGCCCTTCCAAGCCCAGAAAACCAGGGAATCAGACACCATTCCTGGTCCCAGGAAAACTGGGAATCAGCCCATTCCCAGCCCCAGAAAAACCAGGAATCGACACAAACAAAACCAGGAATCAGCCGCCCTTCCAAGCCCAGAAAACCGGGAATCGGGCGGGATTCTCACCGATCTTCATCATCTTGCGCAGCTTCTCCAGGTTGCCGGTGATGAGGTAGAGGAAGGAGAGGCGGTCGAAGTTCTTGGTGCGCTGGTAGCACATCTCCACCACCTGGTGGTTCCCCTGCAGCAGCGCCACCTCCCCGAGCTTCTCCCAGCAGCTCTTGTCGTCCAGGGCCTTGGCTGCTTCCAGGGCGATCTGTGACAGGGAATTCTGGGGTTAATGGGATGGGGAATGGGGTTGGGAACGGGAAATGGGATTGGGAATGGGAAATGGGATTGGGAATGGGGTGGGGAATGGGAAATGGGATTGGGAACGGGGAATGGGAGCAGGGATGGCGGCAGAGCCACCTTCCCCAGCAGCCTATGTCATCCAGGGCCTCGGCTGCCTCCAGGACGATCTGTGACAGGGAATTCTGGGGTTAATGGGATTGGGAATGGGGAATGGTATTGGGAATGGGAAATGGGAGCAGGGATGGCAGTAGAGCCACCTCCCCTGTCAGCTCTTGTCATCCAAAGCCTTGGCTTCCAGGGCGATCTGTGACAGGGAATTCTGAGGTTAATGGGATTGGGAATGGGGTTGGGATTGGGAATGGGAAATGGGAGCAGGGATGGCGGCAGAGACACCTTCCCCGGCAGCCTATGTCATCCAGGGCCTTGGCCGCCTCCAGGGCGATCTGT